CAACTTGCGGGTTCCGCCCATGAACCTATGCATAGGGGTTGGCACACGTTTTCGTCGTGATTCTCCGGTAGAAACTCTGGGGCACTCTTTGAGGTTCTATGTGTTGGTTGAATAGATGAATCTGAGATTGTGTGATGCATATCGTATAATCATACCCACAGATACTTGAGGTGACATTGGAGTATCTAGGTGACATTAGGGTTTTGGTTGATTTGTGTCTTAAGGTGTTATTCTAGTACGAACTCTAGGGCTATTTGTGACACTTATAGGAATAGCCCAACGGATTGATTGGAAAGAATAATTTTGAGGTGGTTTCGTACCCTACCATAATCTCTTCGTTTGTTCTCCGCTATTAGTGACTTTGGAGTGACTCTTTGTTGCATGTTGAGGGATAGTTATGTGATCCAATTATGTTATTATTGTTGAGAGGACTTGCACTAGTGAAAGTATGAACCCTGGGCCTTGTTTCCCATCATTGCAATACCGTTTCCGCTCACTTTTATCATTAGTTACCTTGCTGTTTTCATAATTTTAGATTACAAAAACCTTTATCTATCATCCATATACCACTTGTATCACCATCTCTTCGCCGAACTAGTGCACCTATACAATTTACCATTGTATTGGGTGTGTTGGGGACACAAGAGACTCTTTTTTATTTGGTTGCAGGGTTGCTTGAGAGAGACCATCTTCATCCTACGCCTCCTACAGATTGATAAACCTTAGGTCATCCACTTGAGAGAAATTTGCTACTATACTACAAACCTCTGCACTTGAAGGCCCAACAACGTCTACAAGAAGAAGGTTGTGTAGTAGACATCACAAGGGTCTCCCAGATGGATGACCACCCCTTCGCTTCAGCCTCAAAATGCAAAGACACAAGAGAAATAGATGGGCATTAAAGGTAGAGCAGACCTCAAAATCTTTGCACCCTCGCACCTTGGTTGAGTGATATTCGTCATCTCCAACGTTTATTGGCATCATGGAGGGATTCTAAAAATGGACTCTTAAACTAGTGGAACCAGCAAAGACATGCAACATTTCTTTTATGGAAATTGGCCAATCATCCATAATTGGCACAACTAAGAGGGTATTATCTCCATACTGGACTATCGTGTAATTATGATCATTTTGCAAAGATCGTTCAAATTCGTGAACATTTTTTTATTTCTTATTTTTTAAAAATCATGAACATTTTGTAGATTTGCAAACCATTTAAAAAATATGAAAATTTATTACAAATTTGCAAACATTTTTTGAAATCGCGGACACATTTTGGAAACTCGTACACATTTTTTTGAATTGACAAGCATTTTTTGAATTTTGGGAACAATTTTTGAAATTGATGTACATTTTTTTGTTTGATGACCATTTTTTGAATTCATGAATTTTTTTGAAGAGATGTTTTTTATTTCGGATTTTTTTGAATTTTTTGAATATTTTTCGAAATTCATGATTTTTTAATACATAACTTTTTTTTCAAAATCATGAACCTTTTGATTTTTTGAAGATTGTTTTCGAAATCGTGAACATTTAGTGGATCTGTGAACATTTTATGATTCTCGACCAGTTTTTGATTTCATGAACATTTTATGATTTCTTGATTCTTTTTCTAAATATTCGCAATTTTTTAATTCGTAATTTTTTGTAATCCCGAATTATTTTAAAGAAGGAAAAGGAAAAACATAGAAAAACTAAATGAAAGAAAAAACAGTGAGGGTCCTGCCTTGCACATGGGCTCTGGGAAAGAAGCCAGCGTGCAGCCCCTCGCTCATTTGCAAGGCGCAAACCTTGGGCCGACCCATGTGTGGGGCACGGCTCCCTTTTATTTTTGTTGTTTGTTTTGTTTATATTTTTGTTTGCTTCTGTAAAAAAGTTCGGCATTTCAAAAGGTACTTATAATTTCAAAAAAAATGTGCACTAATGCAAAAAAACTGTTTACAAATGAAGAAAAAATGTTCACTATTTATAAGATATTTTAAAATTTTAATGATTGTTTTTATTTTTTATTTTTTTTTTGAAGTTTGGATGCACATGTTTTGAATTTCGATGAACATTTTTTATTTTCTAAACAAAAATTAAATTCAACGCACTTTTTTAGGTTGATGAACAAATTTTGAATTAGGGAACATGTTTAGAATTTTATGATTTTTTTTAAAAAACAACATGAACATTTTGAATATGATGAACATTTCTTATCTCGTTGAAAACATTTAAATTTTTTGAAATTGCTTTGAATCCGAGAAGATTTTATAACTCGATGAATTTTTTTAAAAAAAATCATTAATTTTCTGAACATGATGATTTTTTTGATTTGGATGTTTTACGTGTTCTGCGTCTTCGTGGTACGCACTACGCGGAATAAGAGGTTCCAAGTTTAGTTTTTTTAGGCACATGTAAGTGATTCATGTTCTTGTGTATGTTTCTGTGTGGGTTAGCCAAATGGACCTGTATAAAAAGCTTAGGAACCACAAATCTTTTTCTTTTGATGTAGTTGCTGTTGGGACCATAGACCCCAGGGTATATAGGCCCGTCTGCCTTCGGCCCAGGGCGCGACGCATGGCGAAAGCCCAGCAAGCCGGCCCACTAGCGAGCGCCACGAGCTAGCCTCTTCAGGAGGCCTTCGCCTCACGAGGCCCCCTCTCTAGAGAGCGGGCAGGCGGCCAAGACGTGGCGGCATCACTAAGAGCCTCGCGAGGCGGCCTCCCAATGCTGCCCCCTGAGGCAGCTCCCTGAGGCAAGCAGATCAGGAGCAGTTCAGCTCGACCGCGCGGCCCTGCGCCACCACGTGGGTGATGCGTGCAACGGCGAACGACGGCAGAGCCCATGCCAGTAGGCGTGGATGAGGAGGATTTCCACTTTTGTGCTAAGGGAGCAAGGCAGCGGTCCAGTTCCCAAAGCAACCCCAAAGGTTGCCCGTTTGGTGCAAGAAGACCAAGACGACGGACACGCAGGGCAAGAGGTCATTCCGATCCCACCAGCGCGTCATGGAGGGAAGCTTTGCAGACGAAGACCACCTTTTGTGAGGATAGACTGCGCTCCGGTCCCCCTTCAAACTGGCCGTTGAGGCAACCTTTTCCGCCATTACTTTTCAGGGGATGAGGACCAAAGGCACTATAAAAGAGGGCAGGGTGCCGCTGTAGAAGGAGGTAGAAAAACCAGAGCCCTAGCACTTGTACTCTCTCTCCCACGAGCAATCCCAACCAAGGAGGAGTAGGGTTCTTGCGGCCCGAACATGGATAACCATCGTGCCACCAATTCATCCTCGCTAGATCGTGCTAACCGCGAGCGTCCCTGTGTTTAGTTGTTGGTTAGGATGAAGTGGGAGAAGCAGCTTACCCCAATGTTCGAACATTTGGGCCTCCGGAGCTTCGATTCCAACAGTTGCCCTTTAGGACAATTGGCCCAACCGCCCAAGTAAAAGGAGAACCAAAGCTTGGAAGGGATTCTCAAAAAAGAGAGAGAATTCCTTATTTAACATTGTCTTAAAATTTGTTGCCTTATTTAACACTGAAAAACATTTCATTCCTTATTTAACTCCGAGTCTAAATTTTATGCCCTTTATAACACTTTCGTCCATTTTAAGCCTTAATGGTGTTAAATCATACGTGAAAAGACCTATTTGCCCCTCATGTGATATGTGACCAAAATTTTACGTGTATGTGTGTATCGAGCCAACTCGTTTTGCTATGCGTGTGAGCCAATTTCTATGGAAAATCGATCGAGTGCTTAGCTTTTTTGTACGTGCCGCTGCGGGGACGTCTCCTTATGTGTGAGTTTCTGTTGATGCGAGTCTAGGAGGTAAAGTACATGACGCGCGCCCATTACCTTTCTGAGCTCCTTTTTTTTTCTTGCGGATACTGAGCTCCTCTTCTTTAGCTGAGTACACACGGGTATTTAGATATGCATAAATGTATGTGTACGGGGCCCGTATTCAAATACGTAAGCGTACTTGCCGGCAGTGGCGAAGCCAGCTATTTAGCTGTTGGCTTTTACTATTATTTTAAGCAACGTTCTTATATTTCTTTATGGGGAGTACATTTCACTTAGGAAAGAACTAGCTTTGCCTTCTCTCCGAGTGGAAACACATATCCTACATTTTTCACTTCCTCTCATTAACACAACTAAAATGATTAAAATGCCATACATAGCACCCACACACACAGCCGAGCCACAAGCTGGCCCTAATATTCTGCCACTCACGCACTATAACCTAGGCCACTAACACATTACTTTTTTTTTTGCGGGTGAACACTAACACATTACTCGGTCAGCACATGCACATACTAACCAACTAATCATTGTTTAATTACTCGGTCACCTAGGAGGTAAAGTACGTAGTACTTATGTTCTTCCGTTTTAGCTTCAATCACGTACGTCTTTTATCCTACTGCTCTATCATTGTCAAAGACTAATAATTGATTACTTTATAATCTAGTAAATTGGGGATCGGTCATCCATATAAGCTTCATCTAGTGGGGTTAAATTTTGGTCACATACTTCATAAGAGGCAAATAGGACTTTTCAGATGTCATTTAACACTGTTAAGGCTTAAAATGAACAAAAGTGTCGTAAAGGAAATAAAATTTAGACACAGTGTTAGATAGGGAAGAAATAAATTTCCAGTGTCAAATAGGGAAACAATATTTAAAACAATGTTATATAAGGAATTTTCTAAAAAAACCTAGAGCTTGGAGGTCCGAGTTGACAGCGCATCCAACGGCTCAGATAGGCAAGGTCATTAGAACGGACGGTTAGAAACTGTCAACATGACAGGACTTGGATTAGCTTCAGTTTTACAGTCTCAAAAAAGGAAGGGCGATTATTTATAGAGTAGTATGAAATAAACTGAAGGAATTGATATATTGATAATCGGGATTTATATAAAACAGTGTTTTTTTTTGGCTGCCTCACTTGACGTTACGGCAGCGTTTACGGTACAGTACACACATGACACATCACAACAAGAGAGCTCATGAAGGCAGAGTCCATGCGTGGCATCAAGCCGCCGCAGCGAACTTCATCTCCTCCTTGATGGCGGCGGCGAGCTGGTCGTAGGCCTCCTCCCAAGCCGCCTTCATCTCCGGCGTCCACATCTCGGGGACGGCGCCCTCGATGGTGTCCAGCAGCGCCGTCTTCACCACCTCGAAGTGCGCGTCGGCGACGCCGGCCCTGACGTGGGTGGCGCCGAGACGCCGGAGCGTGGCCTCCCTCACCTTGACGTCGCCGGTCTTGCGCAGCTGCGTGGCCGACTCGCAGGCCATGACGAAGACGGTCACGGCGTGCGCCTTGAGCTTCGGCTGGCTCTCGAGGGGCGCGTCCTCGCCGGCGTCGCGCAGGAACGGGAACATCGGCTTCGCCGCCGGCGCGATCTCGAAGATCCTGCATATAAGTATGTCATCTCAGAAAATGCAAGGCGTTAATTGGTCATGATGCATGAGCAATGCAAGTGGAAAGGACACCTGAGGAAGAACTTGAGAGCGATGGATTCGGAGTCCGGCTTCATGGCCTTCCATGAGCGCAGGACCAGCTCCTCCTGCGCCTCACTGAACCCCATTTGATTCTCTCTGCCTCCGCGTGTATCTTAATCTTTTTTGTTTCTTGGTTCGTGTGATCGATCGTTTTGGAGATACGAGTTCTGATGATGGTTTATATAGGCAAGAACGGGTGGCTCTCTGCTGGCTCGAGGTGATATTATTTTGTAGATTGATGGCCCTTGAGTGCGTGAGCGGGGCAGAAACTTGTGGTACGAGAAAAAGCCAGCTCTCGTAATTCGTTGAAGACTTTTGGCTTATCTTTCCACGTGTTGCCCGGATCTGAAAAATCAAATCCGTTTTCCCATTTCTATACTATTCTCTCGTAACTAAAGATTTGCCCTTTATTTTCGTTGCAACATTTTGAATTGCTCATAACTTCTCAACCAAATTTCTCTTTTTGAAACATTTTACATATTTGAATTTAGGTCGACAAGAACTTTAAAACAATAGCAATCTTGGTAGATTTTAAACGGGTTTATAAACCGTGAAACATATTTCACTTATTTCTGAAAAATAGATTTCACTCATTTTTTAAAAGTCGAGTGTGGAATATATTCAAAACACTGATTTCACTCATTTCAACACACTCATTCCACTCAGTTAAAATAAATATTTTCAATCATTTTTAAAAATAACGATTTCACTCATTTAAAACAGCATATTTCACTCATTTCAAACAACGAATTTTAGTCATTCCTAAATAATTGATTTCACATAATTCAAAACACGGATTCCACTCAACTCAAAATAAATTCATTTATTTCAGATAAGTGTTTTCACTAAATTCACACAATTCAAGGAAAAATCACCATTACAAAAAAATCAGGCAATAAAAAAAACTCATTCCAAACACCGATTTCATCCATCTTTGAATGACTTATTTCACTCATTTTAGATAACAGATCTCAGTCATTTCAAGATTTCTGTCATTTTAAAATTCACTCTTCTGAAAAAAATTTGACTAAAATAAGTTCACTCATTTTCAAAAAACAGGTTTAGCTCATTTCAAAATAACAATTCAGAAAAATCAAAAACATGTTCCGCTCATTTCAGAAACTGATTTCACTCATTTCAAAACATTGATTTTGCTCTATTTAAAAAATTGAATTCAATCAATTCATAAAAGGATTTCAGTCGATTAAAAAAACTAATTCACTAATGAAAGAGCATGGTGCCCCCATATTTGGTTTTGGGAATGAATGACAATCACTATGGACTAATGGTTGTCTTGAGTTATACTTGAAAGTTTTGTCCATAGGCATTGCTTGAATACCATGTGTTGGTTTCAGGTTAAAAGAAGTAGATTATGTGTTGACCAAGGTGATATTCAAGGAGTTATCCAAAGTTGGTCTTGTGAGGTGTTGAGACTATTGCAAGCATGTATTCAAGAAGAAGATTGGGTGAGCATTCCTGTTTACATTCAATACATCATCTTAATGATGAGAGAAGATAAGATACAAGGTTGATCAAGTCAAAGTACAAAGAGTAGATTCAACTTGATCAACACACAAAGCGTAGAAGATGTACCAAGTGGGATCAAGTTGTTAAGAAATGTAGTAGAAAACAAAAAAGTCGTCCTATGAACACCGAGGAACAATATGAAGATGCATATAGGGTTTGGATCAAAGATCGTTACCGACTCTAGAGTGCAGCGAAAGTAGACGAGTCGGTGTAGATCATACTTGGAGTCCCTCGAACCGTTGGTGACAATTCCGCGAACCGCCCTCGAACGACCCCTCGAACGGAAGGCCAAAGCACGACCTCTCTACTTGGTTGCAAGCGTACGCTCTTCATGATCCGGCAACACTTTGCCGTCCAGAGCTAATCTTCGCCGTAGAGGGATGATATTAGAACCACACTGGGCTTATAATTATGAGGATTATAGGAACTAAGTCTAGCTCTAATTAGTCAATTAGGACCAACTAGAACTAGAGCTAGATGAATTAGAGGAGGCTCCAAAACTTGTGTCTCAATTGTGGCCAGAACCTCTAGTACATATAGGTTGGAGGGGAGAAGGAGGGGCGCCACAAGCAGGGAAGGAATCCTCCCTACTTGGCTGGCCAAGACGAGGGGGATTCCCCCTGCAATTCGGCCTCCCCTCCTTCCTTTCCATGGAGAGGAAGGCGCAACCCCTATTGGGCCCTTTGGCCCAATTCTTTTTCCACTACTTGGCCTTTTAAGGCACATTGATATTAAATTAAATATAAAAACCTCCTAACAATCACTAGAGCCTTTTATTATCAAATTAACATCACCAGAAACATTTTCCACCTATATATTATTTATTAGCAACACCCGATATTGCTCGATAAACTCTGAAACCCTTTCGGTGACCCTGAGATGCTTCCGGTTCCTCTCGAAACTATTCCGAATATTAATGAAACAATTCCACAAATAAATCCTTGATACTCTCGTCCTACTAACACTTAGCAGATTATGATTACCTTAAGCTTGTGGCCCCGTAGGTTCGGTAAATCATAGACATGAATGAAACTCCTTCATTCAATGACCGATAGCGGAACTGTGGATGTCCATATCGATCCGTATGATAACATGAATGACATTTGAGTGAACCTTTGGTTATCATGTGACATTCCCTTTGCTTCCCGATGCTATACAAAACCCGAGATGCATTAGTATTCTCCTGAGTCATCCACATGCTCACTATACCATTATGCTCATTACCAGTTTTGTTCTTCTTTCTCGTTGAAGTGTACCGACATCCCTGTGACATAGTCACCTGTATCTGGCTAGACGATGATGGATGTTGTCACTGTAGGGGAACGCAGCATAATTTTAAAATTTTCTATGCATCACCAAGATCAATCTATGGAGTCATCTAGCAACGAGGGAGAGGGGAGTGCATCTACATACCCTTGTAGATCGCGAGCGGAAGCGTTCAAGAGAACGGGGTTGATGGAGTCGTACTCGTCGTGATCCAAATCACCGATGACCAAGCACCGAACGGACGGCACCTCCGCGTTCAACACACGTACGGTTGGGAAGACGTCTCCTCCTTCTTGATCCAGCAAGGGGAAGGAGAGGTTGATGGAGATCCAGCAGCACGACGGGGTGGTGGTGGAAGCAGCGGTGATCTCGGCAGGGCTTCGCCAAGCTCCAACGAGAGAGAGAGAGGTGTTACGAGGGAGAGGGAGGCGCCAAGGCTTGGGTGTGGCAGCCCTCCCTCCCCCCACTATATATAGGAACCTTAGGGGGGGCGCCGGCCCTAGGAGATCCAATCTCCAAGGGGGGCGGCGACCAAGGGGGGGGGACTTGCCCCCCAAGTCAGGTGGGGCGCCCCCACCCCTAGGGTTTCCAACCCTAGGCGCAGGGGGAGGCCCATGGGGGGCGCACCAGCCCACCAGGGGTTGGTTCCCCTCCCACTTCAGCCCATGGGGCCCTCCGGGATAGGCGGACCCACCCGGTGGACCCCCGGGACCCTTCCGATGGTCTCGGTACAATACCGATTACCCCCAAAACTTTCCCGATGGTCGAAACTGGACTTCTTATATATAAATCTTCATCTCCGGACCATTCCGGAACTCCTCGTGACGTCCGGGATCTCATCCGGGACTCCGAACAACTTTTGGGTTACCGCATACTAACATCTCTACAACCCTAGCGTCACCGAACCTTAAGTGTGTAGACCCTACGGGTTCGGGAGACATGTAGACATGACCGAGACGACTCTCCGGTCAATAACCAACAGCAGGATCTGGATACCCATGTTGGCTCCCACATGTTCCACGATGATCTCATCGGATGAACCACGATGTCGAGGATTCAATCAATCCTGTATTCAATTCCCTTTGTCAATCGGTACGTTACTTGCCCGAGATTCGATCGTCGGTATCCCAATACCTCGTTCAATCTCGTTACCGGCAAGTCACTTTACTCGTACCATAATGCATGATCCCGTGACCAAACACTTGGTCACATTGAGCTCATTATGATGATGCATTACCAAGTGGGCCCAGAGATACCTCTCCGTCATACGGAGTGACAAATCCCAGTCTCGATCCGTGTCAACCCAACAGATACTTTCGGGGATACCTGTAGTATACCTTTATAGTCAACCAGTTACGTTGTGACGTTTGGTACACCCAAAGCACTCCTACGACATCCGGGAGTTACACGATCTCATGGTCTAAGGAAATGATACTTGACATTGGAAAAGCTCTAGCAAACGAACTACACGATCTTGTGCTATGCTTAGGATTGGGTCTTGTCCATCACATCATTCTCCTAATGATGTGATCCCGTTATCAATGACATCCAATGTCCATAGTCAGGAAACCATGACTATCTATTGATCAACGAGCTAGTTAACTAGAGGCTCACTAGGGACATGTTATGGTCTATGTATTCACACATGTATTATGATTTCCGGATAACACAATTATTGCATGAATAATAGACAATTATCATGAACAAGGAAATATAATAATAATCATTTTATTATTGCCTCTAGGGCATATTTCCAACAGTCTCCCACTTGCACTAGAGTCAATAATCTAGTTACATTGTGATGAATCGAACACCCATAGAGTTCTGGTGTTGATCATGTTTTGCTCGCGGAAGAGGTTTAGTCAACGGATCTGTGACATTCAGATCCGTATGTACTTTGCAAATATCTATGTCTCCATCTTGAACATTTTCACGAATGGAGTTGAAGCGACGCTTGATGTGCCTGGTCTTCTTGTGAAACCTGGGCTCCTTTGCAAGGGCAATAGATCCAGTGTTGTCACAGAAGAGAGTGATCGACCCCGACGCATTGGGTATGACTCCTAGGTCGGTGATGAACTCCTTCATCCAGATTGCTTCATGCGCTGCCTCCGAGGCTGCCATGTACACCGCTTCACACGTAGATCCCACCATGATGCTTTGCTTGCAACTGCACCAGCTTACTGCCCCACCATTCAAAATATACACATATCCGGTTTGTGACTTAGAGTCCTCCAGATCTGTGTCGAAGCTAGCGTCGACGTAACCCTTTACGACGAGCTCCTCGTCACCTCCA